TAAGCACTTGATATTTGAAACAATACATCAGAAAACTATTGCGTCTACTCGAAATTACTTCAAAATATTAGCATATATGGAAACTACACTTTCATTTTGAAACCAGAAGTACGAAGATCGAGAACGTTGCCTTTAAAATAGTTATATCATCCAACAGCTCCTATTTGGAATGCCATACCCCAACCCCTCTTCCCCTTCAATCCGTGGGCAAGTTCAAATATTTGCCCCGAGATATTCGCCCCGCGCAATCCTCCTGTTTTGGAGCTGAATCATCGGGTTATCTGCTTTCAGCGCAAAGAGGCAAACAAAAGTCAGCACAAAACAAGCCGGAGTTAAAGCCAAATGCGAAATTGGAGGAGCCTAACAACAAAATAAACCCCAGAAAAGAAGAAGCTACTTAAATCGCACACCTTAGCACATCCGTCAGAATGCTGCCCACATGACCAGTGCATGGCGATATATGAGTATATGAGGGGAACGGGGAGTGCTCGGTACTTATTTACACATATCCAATATCCAATCACGTTCAAGGTAAATGCTGGCCGAATTTCGCACAAATTTAACTGCAGTGCAGAACCCAGAATAACTACAAACCAAAATTGTTTACAGTTACTCGGGCTAGTGGGCTATGAAAGATACGTTAAGCATACGCCCCATGGGCGGTTCAACATTTTGTTTGCACCTTTTGGCTTTTATTTATGGTTCCCTTTCAATCACATCTAATTCGCGATAGGCGCAACGCAAACAAACACGGCTCTTATCAGCCCAAAATGTTAGCGTAGCATAGTATTTCCTTATCGCCGGGGCTTGTCTAGTGGGGGTCTGCCTGATAATTCAGCAATTTCAAAGCTTTGCACTCCCTAATCAAAGTTCTCTTGCGTACACACTTGACCTAAATGCGCAATTCTTGGGAGCAGCAGACTTTTGGAGACAACTGGGTAGTACATAACCGAAAACCTGTGGGGTAAATTAGATTTCTTTAAAAGACCTAAAGATAATTTTTTATACAAAATAGCCAATCACGCTTTTGATTGTAAAAAGAAGAAGTCTGGATCTTAAAAAGAATAGATACAGAGTTTCTTGAGGGGAGGTCAATCACCGAATCCCTAAAATACACCAGTGACGTACACGCATATATAGTATAGAGTTATATACCATCTATATACTTTCACTTTCTTCACACGCATGCGTTATAAATGGGGGCCTAAAGTGGAAAGTCGGAAAGGAAGTTGACCTCAGACAATCGTGTTTCTCTTTTATATATTTTTGGCGAGTCACGTTTCAAAATATTGCATACTTAGAAGGGCATTTTTGTCCTTATGGCAAAACTGCGCTGTTAATTGGGGTTGCACACTTAAAAAACCAAGAAGATGTTTTCTATACTTGTGCAGAGAATCCTTTCACTTTTGCGTGATATATGGACGAGTTATGTGGGTGCCCTTCAGATGCCCCTCAACTAATTCGAATGGTAATCCAGCCGCAGTTGCTAATGGATTACACATGGTCGAGTGTTGGTTGCACTGAATGGGGGGAAATGGTTCAATTCATGCTTTCACTCTCGCTTTCTGCACTCACATAGTACATATGTAAATAAATTTCAAGGACGCCCAACGCTCCCACTGTTAGCGCTAACAGCGCTGTTAGCTTGCCCTCTCATTCTCTGTCTCTCTTTCTCTCTGTCTCTCTTTGGCACTTGTTCGACAGCACGTGCACCGTTTGTTCCTTTCATTCTCATTCTTCTTTGGGATTTTGAGCCGAGCGGTTGTGTGCGTATCAGTGTTCGTGAGTGTGCGTGCGTAGGCGGCCGGTCGTATTTTTATGTGCATGTGTGTATATATAGAATTTCGCATTATTAAACCACATTTGATTACTGGTAAATAAGTTGGCAACTTAACCTCAATTGAACCGGCTGCTCTCTTTGCTCCTCACTTTGTTCTACGATTCGCAATGTAAATTGCATTAAATTTAATCAAAATTGTGAAATATCCCCCTGAAAGCCACTTGAAAAAGCTAATCAATATTCCTCAGTGTTCTGCCTCTTTACGTACACATTTTCCATCTTTCCCATTTGTTTTTATCAGTGCGTCTTCGGCTCTTTCTTCATTTGAAATCGCTTGCCATGTTGTTATGGTTGCGTTGATAATAAAAATAGAAATTAACTTTATTTTTCTGTGCTTTGCTTTGGCTCGCTTCTCCCCGACCGACTCCCCTTGCCACTCCTCCTCCTGCGTTTGTTGATTGTTTTTACACACAGCGATAAAGATAAAGGCCGTTTATTTAAATCGAGCGTGCGATTTGAGCGCTCATGTGAGTTGATCCCGAAGAGTGAACAATTCTGATACATTTGATACATTTGCAACTCGTATTTATTGCATTATTAAATAATTTAATTACCCAAGAGACGGGTCATCCGACAGCCAGACAACCGCAAGTGCGGCAGGCCTAGAAAGATAGCCAGGCGACAAATATTTCGCTTTGTTCTGGATGAATTCGAACGAAAATTGAAACAAAATCATCTTAAGGAATTGATCAGGGACAACACAAACAAATCAATAGCATCAGTAGCAATATAGTCTAATAGCAATATATACTAATGAATTGGATATTATTTTCTTATAATTTCTTATGATTTCGTCTACTTATTATCAGAAAAATTTTCAAAATCGTACTTAAATATATTCCCAAGAGAAACAAATTTAATAGAGTTTAAGTTTGTGCAAATATAAAATTTCGAGTTTATTTATTTTTATTGCGCTCTCGTGGCATTGAACTTTGCAAATGTTGTCGCCTGGGTCGCTAAACCCGCCTAGAAAAGCGACCCTGAAGCGCAGGTTGCACGCGTACAGGCGAGGCATGCGTCGCAAACGATCTCTGTGGCAATCGTTGCATCGATTAGGCCTTTATTTTTTTACCCGCTACATTTTGCAACGGCTTCGCAACGACAACAAGGCAGGGAATTAAATGAATTGAAATAAATAAGAATAAAGCTATGCGCGCATTGACACTGCATTGTTGTTTTGCAATTGTGGGTGTTGTGGTGAACTTGCTCAAGTGCATTCATCATTTGATATTTGTTGCTGGCAGCTGTTGATTACGGCCAATATAATACATACAAAAAGTGTTAACAATTTTAAACATAAACAATCGCGTCGTGGAAAGCAAAAAGCGACAGTAAGAACAAAAAAAACGCGGCGATGTGAGCAGCTTTGACTTAATTTCAGTGCGTTCAACCTAGGAGCAACCGAGACGAATAGAGATAGAAAGAGATGCAGAGCATAAGCTTTCGAGCAAGTGCATCGGTAGTGGGCGAGAACGAGAGCGAGAGAGTGATGTGTTGTGTTTTTATTTACAGTTGAAGGATTATTATGTGACTTTTACAAGGCGAGACAGAGACAGCGACAACCGATCGCAGTGCTTACTTTAACCAAATTGACAAGTGCAACAATAACAACTGTTTTACACTGCCTTACAAAAGTGTAACAACATCAAGAACTAAACAAAAACAAAATTAACAAAAATTGACACCACAACGGAGGAAGGAGAACGGCCTAGCAATGCATGGAATCACACACCTGTACCGCCAGCATGCCGTTGAAAAACAGCTGAGCGGTGGCGAGAGCTGGTCCCGCCAAATTTACCCGGGTTACGGCAGCAGTGCCGATGCCTCCTCGCAGGGCAGTCGCCTCTACAGCGTCGACTCCTCCAGCAGCTCCAGCTCCAATTCCAATAACTCTGGAGGTGGAGGAAGCGGGACTGCAGGTGGTGAGAACCTGGGAGGGGTCACCGGCAGCGCATACGCCCAGTGGCAGAGCGACCGCCACTCTCTGCCGCAGGCAGTTCCCGATGCCCCTAGGTCGCTGGCCAACCACCACTACCGCAACTCGCCCACGCACCAAGCCCACTATCAGCAGCCCACTAGTGGCAGTCTCAAGCGGACACCCTCCTCGAAGCGCAGCTTCATGGAACGATCTCACAGTCCGGCTATATATTGCGTGAGTAGAGTGGTCAAGACAAGGATGCAAACCGATCAGGAAAGCAGAGAGAGTGCCTAAAAACAAACCACAAAGTCTTAAACAAAATGAAACGCAATAGTTGAAACGCAATGTATGGTTTTAGAGACACTGGATGCAGGATTAGTTGATTGAACTCGTTTAATGCAGTATGTTTCAGGCCTAGAATCGGTTTGCACCCCTTAATCGGATATCTTTAAAATATGTAGTTAATCCTATAAAAAAACTTTTAGAGCATGCGTCGCACTGCAGGTCCGGACTTCGGCTCTCCACCGCCCACCGCAGGCGGTTACTTCCCACACGATCTCGACGACATCTGCGAGAGCCAGGCGGACCATCAGTATTTCACCCACACGGGTGCCAGTGGACCCCAGCAGCAGCGTCCCACAGCTATCTCGATCTTCCATCGAGTGAGCGCTGCCCACACCTCGCTGGATGACTACAGCTTGCCCGGGGAAGCATCGCGCCAGTCCATGAATAGTACAGACAGCGGGGTTAGCAACGGACCCTTCAATCGGCAACGTTTTGACAACTCGTCATTCGCCAAGAGTCTCAGCATCGACGAGCAGGATCCACAGCACTCGCCCCATAAGGAAGGACACAGCAAGCACGGAAAACACCATCAACATCATAGCCACCATCACCATTCGATCCACGAGTTAGTGAAGCACTTTGGCAAAAAGATGCACCTGTGGCCGAGGAAGCACCACGACGCCCAGAGCGTTTGCACCTCGCCACAGAACGATCCGCAAGAGAACTTCCGCAGCAGATCCAAGAGTTTGGATGTGAACACGCTCAGCCGCGCCAACCGCATTCTGGATGACTGCGGGGCCACCTACAAGATCTACGATCGCATAGTCAAAGAAGGTAAAGGGTTTCGGGTTTCTGGTTACTTTCAATTGGTACTTGCTGTTCGATTAGGTCTAGATTTGCTCTGAAAATTCTGCATTTGACCACGTGTACTTATGGCAATTTGGTATTCTCTTTCAGGTGCTCACATGCGTCGTGCCTCCGCGGATTTGGAGAAGCGACGTGCATCAGTTGGCGCTGCCGGTCGAGGACTTCGAGGCGATGGTACTTTGGATCCACACCATGCAGCCATCCTCTTCAGAGACTCCCGAGGGGTAAGTTTATAACTTGCAGCTAGCATATAAATTATTCTCTAAGTAAACTTAAAAGTGCAGTTCCTTATATGGTCTGGTTTGATGAATATTTTGAAACCTTAATAAGAAAACATATGTATATTAGGCAAATCTGTTTTGGTTACAAAATTATCTTCCTCGTTATGCATAACAAACGATAAAACAACTATACAATTATCTTTCCAATTAGATGTAATAATTTATGATGGCATATGCCATCTCGCAAGTATTTTCCCTTCCACTTTTCCACTTTTTTTTTTGTATTTTCTTATCGCTTTAAAAGCAATCGCTTCGGAGCTATTAATAGCTTAAAAATACACTTCTACACACCCTTTTCCCTGTGACTTGCACTGTTTGACTCCTCCCCTTTTTTGTTTACTTCGTTCAGTTCGCTACACCTTGACATTTCTCTGATATACTCTGTTACCCGTTGAGAAATGCGTTTTCCCAGTTGCTTGCATAATACCTTCAAGGGCGTGTGCTTTCTAAGTAATTCTCCCTCTTCTATTTGCACCTGTTGAATGTTAAGAGTTTCATGAAATTTGTTACTTTTTAAGAACTCTATACTATCCCTCACCCTAGTGAACGATTATATATATTGCATACTTAGAGGTTTTCGCTCTTTACATTTAATGTAGACTACATGTAGAGTACCCCGCGGCGTATTCAAAGTACTTATTACGTATACGTCGTGAGCACCCATTAGAGCATATTAGATTAACGACTAGATATATTGACTAGACGACTAGCATATGAAGTTTTAGCGCCATTGGTGAAACAAATTCAGACAAGTGAGTCACTTTATATTAAAAACAAGAAGTCATGCTGATAGCTAATTTATTTATCCGGTGGCTTTGTCTGCAACTTTGAATTAGTTGGAGAATGACCTTTCACTGTGTTTTCTCCCAAACCTACATGTATGTAAAACCCAAGGTCTCATAATCGGCCTAATGGCCATTATGAACAGTTATTATATTGTTACAGTCTGTTATTGTTTATTTTGCACTCCACAACGTGGTCACCCATGGAAACTGGTTTATATCGATAGATTTGAATCATATGTCAAGTGTTTGTTGTTTTGTTATGTACATTCTAGGGAATTCTTTTTGTAGTCTGACGTCAGCGGATTGGGCTTTCACCATTAAATTCTGTTTGGTATTGCTTTGTTGATGGTATGTGCCCGCTAATGATGATGATTAATTAGCCAACTACTCTTCACATGTCAGGCTTTTCTCACTATTCTTTGCTCCCTCTCTCTATCTCTCATTTCTCTTTAGCAAGGCCACAATCTTGCAGTCCCGTTTACCTAACTTATCGCTCAAAGAAAACAATAAGTGTACACAGAAGCTCTTTGCTTTTGGATGCGTATTTAAACTGAGTCACTTGACTCTTGAATTGAGTGGATTCATCTTTGAGTCGAGTACCTTTGACAGTTCTTCTTCTTCCGCCTGCAGTGGACTTCTTGAGCTTTTCGCGTGTGGGTGCAAGTGGGTCGCTCCCGTTGTCTGCTCTCTTGTTTGCTTTAACGATATAACGATTAAGTCGAAAAGAAAATAAACGAGCGCCGTTCTCTGATACCCTTTTTCTATCCGGTACTCATAATATTCACTCGGTTTGCGATCTCTCTCTCGGAGAAGAAGAAAACACCCTACAGCAGGGAGCCAGCTGAAAGATAAGCAAAGCAAACAAGGTGTAATAAGTGAACCGTTGGACAAACCAAAAGTTTATTTTCGATGCAGTCAACCCAGATTTACTGCACTCAAATTTATAATTTGATCGTAATTTTCAGAATTTTTGTAAACACTTTTATAAAATCAGCAACATTCAGGATGACGACATTTAATCAATCAATTTACGGAGCGAAAAATTAAATACAGAAAGTCCATCTAATGTCATTATGTTTTATTCACTGGTGGTAAATTTGTTATATCACCAGAATGTGTGATTTATTGCGATTATTTTTTGGAGTGCAGTGCATTCTAGGGTCTTGTAGCTTCATTACAATTACATTTACATTGTGTGCCGAGTGTGTTCTTGTATTTGCCTATACTCTAGCACTCTCGCGCACTTGTGGCGCTCTCCCAGACCAATCCGCTCTCTTTCTCCTCTGCTCTTTGCCATGGGGCGATCATGTGTGGGGTCCGGCTGGCGCTCGCTAAACTCTTAACCAGTGGCTTTTTTAACCAGTTTAAGTTTATATTTGCGTGAGCGCAGACGTGTCCGGAAAGCGAACGGAAGATAAGTGAAACAAAACGAAACGGAACGGAACACGGCCGTATCAGCAATCAGGCAGAGTAGTGGTGTCGTCACTTTTGCGACTCTCAATAAATCCGTCTCCCAGTGCTTGTTGCTTCTTTTTGAGTGCGCGGTTTTCATGTATCGCCGCCGGTATTCCGCCTTCGAGCCAAGCACGCCCCGCGTGGGTGTGCTACCCTCTCCGCCCCCTCAATATGTCAATCCCCCTGCCGACACTGCCGCCCCGAAAACGCCGCCCAAGCTGAGCGTACACTTTGACCCCAATTTGCCAAAAGACAACGATAGCAACAACAATCTCACCGGCAGCGAAAATGCAAATGCTAAATGCGGCGGTCGCAAGGCGCGCTCGCTGAGCAATTCGCCACTGTATCACCGCAAAAAGCGGTATGGCCATCTGCCGGCGCTGATGTCGAATAACGGGCCGACGGCCAGCAGCAACTACCAGCTGCTGAACAGTGCGAATCTGCGAGATCTCGTCGACGGCCAACGCCACTCGCATCACGTAAGCAGACGCGATGACAGCCAAAGCCACAGTCATAACGAAAACCCAAGTCACATTGGCCACATTAGCCCAAGCAACCAAAGCCATCAAAGCAACCAAAGCATCCTAAGCCTGCCAAGCGGCAAAAACAAGGCGAAAGATGGCAAGAAGCTGAAGGCAACTTTAACGGCGGCCATGTCATCGTCGCTACTGCGACGCAAGGCGCACAGCAATCACAGTCAGCAGCAGAAACTGCAACTGCAACAGCAGCAGCGAGAGCAAGAACTACAGCAGCAGCCGCAGCAGCTGCAGCAACTGCAGCAACTGGGGAGCAACAACAGCAAGACAATTGCAAATGCTGCCCGCCATTCGCTGGGTCATTCACCCTCCGCTGCCGCCGCCGCTGCTGCAGTGAGGCAGACGCTCGTCTACGAGCAGCGGCGCGTCAGCAGCGCCCACTCCTCCCCCTCGCCCTCCTCCAGGCATCACTCCCCAGTGCACCAGTGCATGCTGATGCGGCGGCGCAGCGACTACAGCGTCGAGCAGATCGAGCAGTGGAAGCGCCAGCAGCAATTGTTGCCGCGATCCGGACGCAAGATTAGCGTAAGTGCACGGCGAGAAACGGGCTTTGGTTATATGATGTGGGACTGGAAATGATATATGGTATATGTAAAATTCTCAAATCTTTTCAAACAGTAACTTCCGCTTGACAAAATCGATTTAATATAATATTACATTATTGAACCCCAGTGGCATTTTTATCGATGCTTTTACTGACAGATGTTCGCTGTGTGTATCAAAATACTTAATCCGTACGCTTTTCTTTTTGTGTGAAAATGCCTTCAGAGGAAAACAAAGAAAAAACCATCGAGTGTTTGCCAATGGCAGAGCTTTGAGCGGAAGCTTTTTCGTCGATTGAATTTGGTCGGCTGCATTCAGTGCAATATATATTTAGACAAAATGAGGGTCAACCTTACAATGCACATTCAGAAATCAAATAGTCAGTACCTAATTTGCGGATTAGCGGGCACAAAATTAATTGAGAAAAGACATTACAGTTTACTCTTTGGTCTAAATGAATTCAATTTTCAATCTCTTCACTTTTAAGTCTGTTAAACTTAAATCATAGTCTATTAACACAGCTAAATCTGCCAAAACTTTTAAACTGTGTAATAAATAGATATTTGACGAATTTTTTTTGTACATCAAAAGATAACAAGGCAAATATTTATTTTTCAGTGCACACTTTTCTTGACCCCATTTCTAGCTACAAAAGAGCACTGCGGGAGAGGAAGAGAATGGTTGCGGGTAGCGTTGGTAGCGTTTAGGCTAAACCAAAATTGGCCTGCACCTGTGTGTGAGCGTAATTTTTCAATTGCCGTATCTGATATGGGGTACTTGTCCCATTGCCTCGTTTCCATGCGCCCCTCCCCTTCCTAATGTGTCATAATTCCTCAATTGCACATTTCAATGTTAATTCAAAGCTACTCGACCGAGCGAGCATTCAGCTCACAAATATTTCATTGGGGCTGGAACTATTTTTCTTTGGGTTTTATCTGCGATTTCGCGTTCTGATTAGCAGATAACGTGTAAGAGTAGTATATCAGCGAAGTTTATATTGCTTTTTACGCAGCATTCCCTTATTGTTTACTTCTATCCCTAAAATGCGCCAGTCATTGTGACCCACATATAAATAAAATAGGAGTACCCCGATTTAAATCAGGATAAGGAAAGAGGAAGTACTGGGGAATCGTAAGTTATGGCAAGGCAAGGTGTAAATTACACTACGCCAGAAATACCTTGCATAACGATTAACGAACGTATAAGTATATGCATGTACATATGTACATTTTACGACTTTTCAAGTTAGCTCGTTTATTTCTTTAATGATAGTTCACTTTGCACTGCCTTATGTAGTAAACAGCTATAAATTTGGTTTACCATTTCGAAAGTAGATAAACGAGGTAAATAAATTAAGCTTGCTTGCAGTTAGACTTTCAAAACAATATATTTATCTTTAATATGAAAAAACTAATATTTTCCTTGGTGATATGGTGAATCTTTCAGAATTTATACAATTAACACATATTTCTTGACAACATTTTAATCAATCGTTTTTGTTTTTTATTACAGTTGCCCGTTGCTGATCCGTTCCTAGAGAAAGTAAATCTATCAGATCTGGGTAAGTTGTCAAACCACCCTCTTAATCCACTCCCATGTCAACTTTTCCGCAACGGCCGCATGTGAGCCAAACAAAAAGGTTTAGTTTAAACGAATGAACATACTTGGCATCCGGTCAAAAGTCGTCCTCTGACTATATTGAACCTGATTTGCTAATATACATATATGTATGTATAAATGCCAAAGAAGAAGATAAGTTATGGAATCAGTCATAATTCACGGGGATTATGGTAGCATCCTCTTTGAATGCTAGCGTGGGCTGCCTAAAATGCGACATAGAAAAAAACGCTAGGAAATAGAAACTTACATATAGTTTTATTATTCCCGACAAAACAAGTGGAGACTTCTGTTCTTAAGGTTCCTAATGAGAACCGAACACACCTCCAAAAACTTATATTTGTTTTTCTTCTTTACCAAAGCTAATTATAAGTTCCAAGTACGCCGGAGACCATTCGGGGAAAAATACGCAACTGAGGTGAGGGTACTTTGGGGTACAATGAGAGCCGAGAGGAGGGAAAACAGTGCATGTAATTGGTTGGCAATTTCAGACATTTCATGATCCTCATTAACGTCAATTCCCAGCCGATCCGATCCAAACGATCTCTCAGCAAAGATTATATTCAATTTATTAAACGCTCTGAGAACTTTTCGATTTAGTGGCGAGCAGAAGCTCAGAGCGTTTCCACTATTATTTCAGTCTATCATTTGTTTGTTTGTGCGCTTTTCCCTGACGAAAAACTTTTCCGCCACAGAGAGCCAGCGAGCGGAGGAGGAGATGGAAAACACAGACTGCAGATCAGTTTATGATAAAATTTCGAATGGTTTAGAACGTCGCCAACGAAAGACGGGCAGACGACAAAAGTTCGGCTATTTTCCGTTCCGTGTGCTCTCCGTGTGGAACTATTGGCAGCAGGAACCATTCGCGATCTATACGTGTCTATATGTGTCTATATCAAGTGTGTCTATGGATACTGCCCAGGCCGTAGGATTTACTTACCAACCCGAATCCATCAATCGAATCCAACCGACCAACTGCAAGCAATGTCGACCCATCGAAGGTCTTCGCTTCTCTCTTAGTCATTCGTTAAGAATTTTCGAATAGCGCCGCGACGCCAAAAGCAACTGAACCATCACAACCACCCTCGCCGCCTTCCACTCCCCACAATAGCCTCCCATTGCGAAAATGGGTTTTCAATTGTTTTGATCCCTCACGGCAGAAAAGAAATAGCAGAATACTCAACAAAGCCAACAACGCCAAGGTGCATTTCAATTAACTCGTGTGGCCCGTGGCCCCTGTCAAAAGAGACGCAAAACGCCAGAATCAGAATCGTTAACGATAACCCATATTTACCTTCGCCTTCGCAACTGAATATAAGCATTGAAAACCAATCAAAACGGCAACAAAGTACGAAAAAGATTGATGAGACGAGACCTTCACCGATCTGGACAAGCATTTTAGCTCCATTTCCCTTGACTTTCTTTATCTGTGTGAACGGTTCGCCGCCCGGCAACCGCAGTAAATTCCATTTATTAAACAACATTTAAATGTTTACACAGCTTAGTCGGGAAAATCTTTTGCCGCTTGCATATAGCTCCAAATATTTTACAATTTATTTCGATGTATATATTTTCTTTCGCGGTATCTGGCCTTCGTTTTTTTTCTATATATTATATTTGGTCGTTTTTAAACTTTCCGTTTGTCTGTTTGCTTATATTGTGGTGGATATCATCCGGATAATTTGTTGGAAATACTTTTACCACTGGCATTCAAAATTTACGCTAATCTCTAACGCATAGACGGCAGGTTTTGTTGATAGTACCTTAGAATTATTTCCGCTCATTAAAGCATATGTTTCAGCATTCGTTTCTATATCGAATAATCATAAATTGAGTTCGTGCTAAATAAAACCTCAGACCACCAACAAAAATTAACCTGCCAATATGTAATTGAACGAAAATAATTTTTGCACTTTAAATCAAGTTATTTATTTCTGAAATAGATTTCCCAGAGATTTTTTGCAAAAGAAGCGCAATAATCTTTACAAACATTTGAAATTTCAGTGTTGAGGTCTTATGCTGCGGTTAATTAATTTCTTGGCACAACTGCCTGTCCCAATATCTGTTATGTGTCGCTATAATGGCTCCGACAAATGCTGAATCGGTGAATGTTTGGGTTGCATTTATCAGGCCCCTGACAAGACCGATCTGCAGCCCCTGTGATTTTATATAGTTTTTGATTAACACCTTTTGGCCCCGCCTCAATATTTATTTGTTTACATTGTGGCAGAGCCGTCTATATTATGTCCCTCTCACTTGGTTTCTCTTTGTCTGAATGGGAATTGAAATAATATTTATTGTTGAACAATTTGGCGAATCTATTCTATTTGGATGTGTTTGCCTTAGCTGTGGCTGCTTCGGTTGCTTTTGTCGTACGCTAAATTTATTTTAATTAAAAATGCCTTAATTAAATTTAACGAAACGCGTGCGCCCTCAAATTTATGTGGAACGGTCGTTCTATTTTTGGGTTCGGCTTCCCTGAGCCTGCATGAATATCGTTTAACTGCCATAACTTACTACAGTGAGAAGTGCGTAGAGCGGCGCAGCTCTGTTAGCGGACTGTTAGCGGTCTGTTAGCTAGTTGGTCGATCAATTAGGCAAATCAATTAGCGGAGCAAATCGAGTCACCCAGTTAATTGCTAGCGCCCACAGACCTCAAACAGAAGACCAGATCAGATCGGATCGGATCAGTCTAGCGTAATGCCACACTGAACTTCGCTAAAAACAAAAAGCACCCTAGAAAGAGTGAAGAGTCAAAGTGGAGCAGAGTGGGAACCCAGAACGCATGTTACAGTTGCACTTCTACTCCAATCATGCGGGTCGTCTGGTACTCGGAGGTGGCAACGGTCGCCCGGCCGACGTCCTTTGCTATCCGTTGGAGAGCATCAAAGAGTTCGAGCAGATCTCTGAGGCCTGGAAGCGTCTGTTAGCCGAGTTGCTCAAGAAAGGTGGACATCCCAGACCCCCAAATTTCAGCCCATAAAATACTTCAATCCATTATTTACCCGACTTTTCTTCTTTCTGCAGAGGAGGACGACTCACAGATCTTCGTGAAGTTCTTTCGTTTTCACAAGTGCTATGATCTGATACCCACCTCCGCCAAGTTGGTTGTCTTCGACACCCAACTCCTTGTAAAGAAGGCCTTTTACGCCCTGGTCTACAACGGTGTGCGGGCGGCACCGCTCTGGGATTCGGAGAAGCAACAGTTCGTGGGCATGCTAACCATCACGGATTTTATCAAGATCCTGCAAATGTATTACAAATCGCCAAATGCGTCCATGGAGCAGCTGGAAGAGCACAAACTGGACACGTGGCGAAGTAAGTGAACACACACATTGGCATACGGTGATTCCAACTAAATTGTATCCTCTGCTAGGTGTGCTGCACAACCAGGTGATGCCGTTGGTCAGCATCGGGCCAGATGCGTCCCTCTACGATGCCATCAAAATTCTCATCCACAGCCGCATACATCGCCTGCCCGTCATCGATCCGGCTACCGGCAATGTCCTCTACATCCTGACACATAAACGCATACTTAGGTTCCTCTTCCTATACGTGAGTTTCTGGGATATGAATTTTTTAGCCAATAGCAAAATAACAATGTGATATTTCTGTGCTCAGATTAATGAATTACCAAAGCCCGCGTACATGCAAAAGAGTTTGCGCGAACTGAAGATTGGCACCTACAACAACATCGAGACCGCCGACGAGACGACGAGCATCATCACGGCGCTCAAGAAATTTGTGGAGCGACGGGTCTCCGCCCTGCCACTGGTGGATTCCGATGGTCGCCTCGTTGACATTTATGCAAAGTTTGATGTGATTGTAAGTATACATTTGAGCGCTCACAGATAGATCGCATGGGATTTATAGGTTTACGAGTATATGGAGAATTATGATTTTTTTACACTTGTATGTGCTTCTTCAAGATGCTATTTTATAGTACTCAGGAAGTACTAATTACAAATTCAAATAGTTCTGCAATTTCAGATTCATTCTTAAAAACAATTTCAATCGCAATAATTTTTTGAGCTGGTTATGGCAAACAAATGTAAATCCATAAACTCCATAATCCAAATCCATAAATCTTTCCAACAACTGTCGTACAGTTGTTACAAAACAATGAAATAGATTATCCATATGTGAATACGTGAGGTAGATTGAATATGAGATATACGTAGTTAATAAAAATAAAAATCTTCTTTTCATTCAGAATCTTGCCGCCGAGAAGACCTACAACGATCTCGATGTTTCGCTGCGCAAGGCTAACGAGCACCGAAACGAGTGGTTCGAGGGCGTGCAGAAGTGCAATCTGGACGAGTCGCTGTACACGATCATGGAGCGCATCGTCCGCGCCGAAGTACATCGACTGGTGGTGGTCGACGAGCACCGCAAGGTGATCGGCATCATCTCGCTGTCCGACATCCTGCTGTACCTCGTCTTGCGACCAAGCGGCGAGGGGGTCGGTGGGTCAGAGAGCTCGTTGCGCGCCTCCGATCCTGTTCTGCTGCGCAAAGTGGCTGAGGTGGAAATACCAGCGACAGCCGCAGCGTCGACGACAACGCCCCCGCCTCGTAGTCCATCGGCCGGATCCGGCAATCGCAGCCTGATCGAGGACATACCCGAGGAGGAGCCTGCGCCGGCGAGGAGCGACGATGCCGACAGTGATAACAACAAGTCCGCCAGTGAGGATAAGGCCAACAACAACCAGCACGACCAGACGACGACGGCTGCGACAGCTAATGGTGATAGCAACAACAGCCCCGTAGAAGTGTCCTTTGCCGATGAGGCGCACGAAGAAGGAGAATCCGCCGACCAGGTCGAGCGCAGCAATTGTGATGATGATGACCAGCCAGCGCTAGCGGAGATTGAGCGCAAGAAGGCGTCGATGGACGACGACGAGGACGATGGGCTGAGCAGCGCCGTGTCCGCTGCCTCCGCTTTGGGCCAGTCACTGACGCCAGCGGCGCGAGAAATGGCGTTGGTTAGTGAATAAACCTAAGCCTACACCCAAACCCTTAATTTAAACATGCTAAACAGATACAGCTGCTAAAGATACAAAAGAAAAACAATTGCAAGAACTAAGAACCCTAAAACACAACATTAATGATAAAGCAGAGAACATTATATTTGAATATTAATAGTTGTTAAGGATATATTATTACAATTATGAAATATTATGTATTTTACAACAAGCAACTAAAAGCAAAGCAAAAAAACAAAAGCTGTTAACAAGATGTTGATATATACACACAAGAAACGAAAACAAAACAACAAATTACATTAGAATGTCTTTAAATTTTAAACGATGTAATTGATTATTAAATAATAGTACAGTACAAGTCTTTGATTGTGTTTAATATGCGGCTGTGGCGTCGCTTTCATCTCTAAGGGATTACAAAAGTTGAAATTGAGTTTTTCCTACGCTTAAATTCAAAAGATTTAATTAATATTTTTAAATCATATTGATTTATTGGCGACAACCTTCAGGACAGACTTCTTTATCTTTAATTTACCTTCTGAAAATAAATATCAACTTTTTTTATTAATTCGCAAAGGAAAATTCTGTTATTAACATTTAAAAGATCAACAAATCTTAAAGGTTTTTTACAAGATTTTTTTATTATATTTTGAATTGTGGGGCCAACCAGCCAGCTGGTGCAGCTCCAAAATTTTTTTTGAGTAAAGGTTCAACTTTTTCACAGGCAAGCAAGCTGTTATACCCTTAAGTGACTATATCGATTTCCGTCAGAAGTATCAACATAGTAAAAAAGACATACATCAACTGTTTAAATATATTTATTGAATATATATATGTATACGTATATATATATATATATATATATATATATTATATTATATATATTTATAGTATTAACAACAAGCACTTGCAGTCTAATCTGGCTACGAAATGGCTAAATTGTCTGCACTGCTATAACTCAGTGTTGCTATCTTGACCCGCAGTCATATGGTCATTTTGTTGACGTTTACTTTTTGCCAAAAAGCATTGCGCACCAGGCTGAAAGGCCTCCAAACGTATTCACAATGGAGCTGATCATTCTCGTGGGGATTGCCATAGCTCTTTTGGTGGTAATCATCACGCTGTACCTGCTGCAAAAGAAAAACGCCGCTCCAGGTGAGTCGGAAGCAAAATGGAATGAGCCAACTGGCGATTAAAACATTGACCTCAAACCAGAAACGAAACCAGCTGCAGCCCCCCAACGTGGCGTCCCACAGCGCGCCCAGGAGGGTGTACCGCGTCGGGCTCAAATAGCTCGAAATCAGCGTAACAGGCTGCGCCAGAATGCTCCAGCGGCTCCAGCAGGTCAAGTCGCTCCGGCAGCTGGTGCCCCTGCGGCCCGCGGCGACTCAGACCACGAGGATGAGGGCCAGGTCGATGCCGATGACGCCCGTGTGCCCCAGGGAGCGGTGTTGGATGAGAAAATGGGCGCTAAGAAGCGCGCCAAGATGGAGGCCAAGGAGCAGAAACGGCTTCAGCGGGAGCAGGAGCTGCACGATCGCGAACAGCGCAAGGTGAAGGAGGCGAAAGAGGAGGCCGAACGCAAGCAGCAGGAAGACCTAGAGGCTGAGGTTGAGCGCAAGCGGGTGGAGGCCGAGCGCCTGGCCAAGGAGGAGCGGGAGCGCAAGGAGCACGAGGAGTACCTGAAGATGAAGGCCGCCTTCAGCGTAGAGGAAGAGGGCTTCGAGGAGGGCGACGCCGACGAGCAGGACAGCCTCCTGGCCGGCTTCATTCAGTACATCAGGGATAACAAGGTTGTTGTCCTAGAGGATCTGGCCGTGGCCTTCAAACTAAAGACGCAGCAGGTCATTGATCGCATACAGGAGCTGCAAGCCGATGGCACCCTCACCGGCGTCATCGACGACCGCGGCAAGTTCATCTACGTTTCCGAGGAGGAGCTCTCGGCCGTTGCCAAGTTCATAAAACAACGCGGACGCGTCTCCATCACCGAGCTGGCCGAGAGCAGCAACAACCTGATTAACCTGACTCCCATTTCCGCCGGCGGCGAAGAAGCCAGCTCCTGATGAGATTTGTTAGCCATTTATATATTAAATTTATATTTAGATGCGATGGTTTGGTAGCGTAACATGAACAAAAGAATTCAAGATTGCGTATCAATTGTGTTCGATTTCTCCGCCTTGCAATCTTCACACTCGCAGACCAGCAGGAAGTGGTCGCCTTTCAAGTGGACACTACGATTTCGTTGTGCGCTGGACAGAAGCTTCGCCAATTGGACGTTGGAAGCGTAGAAGCTGCCTTTAACATTTTCCGGAATCTGCGAAGCTGGCTTGCAGAGGAATTTACCAACAACTGTGTGGGTAGGGTGTGTTGTGTTATCTACTGACTTTTAAGTAACGCATCCACTTACATTCTTCCACTTTGGCTCTGACCTTATCGGTCATAAGAAACAGCTCGTCCGTTGAATCCGGATCCGCCAACTGGCTGATCCATTGTGCGAAGGCCTTGGAGGTTAGACCTTGACTGTTGGTTCCCACGATGGTGATGAGTGCTCTAAACGCCTCTGGTGTCCTCAACTAATTGGTTAAGTAAGCTTATAATTCGGTTAGGCAACTAGGACCTTTCGTATGTGTATTTACCCTGGATAACTCGCTTTCCCAGAGGATTTGGCAGAATGCAAGGTACAAGGACGGTTGCCTGAAGAGCAGATGGTACTGGATGCCCCATAGGAGCAGCAAGATTACGACCTGAGCGACGGAGAAACACACTATATTGAAGTATATGTTATCGCATGTCCTCCGAAAGCGTTCCATTTGAAAACGCTGGTAGTTCTGATTCCTGGATATATCCTCTGCCTGATTCTTCAGCTGTAGAATCCGCAACTGCATGGAGTCCAGGTTGTACAACCGGCGAACGTTTTCGTAGTCCACAGTCCGCTCGCCGGTCTCAATGTCCAAGTGGACACGCAGTAGAGCGCCTTCGAACCACGCGGAACTGTTGGATTGCAGGCAGATCTGGTGGTCACCAGGCCAGTGGGTTGTGAACTTAAGACGAGCCTCCGACTTGTAGACGCGAGAAAGGACAACCTTGTCCATGCTATCCCGCACTTCCACATGCATTCCAAGGAGAGGGGGCGCGGGCATAAAGCCGCCCGAACTTGAATCTTCCACCTCAAAGACGTAATGAACTGAAAGGAGGCAAGCAGAGCAGTCACAGAGGTCCAGGACTTGAAGATAGGTTTCCCACTGTACCCAGCAAATCCGTTTCATTGGGCGTAGTCTGGATGAAGCACTTTCGTTTCGTTTCTCTCATGGTGAAGTACAGCCCGCAGGTGCCGTGCAGGATTCCCAGGAGCAGAACCAGGAAAATTATTGTGCGCTCCATGGCTGGTGAAATCCAAGAAAATTTCTGCATGCGTATTGCACCTAGTGCATACACGCTATAAAAACGCTATAAAGCTCACAAAGACAGCAAGTGTTGGATAACGTTGTGGAGGGCAGGATGATGATCGGGGGTATGACTTAACTTATCTCTGCATTTGTATGTTCCACACGTAATGTGCGGGCTGGCTAGAGCAACAATTCAATTGATAGCAAAAATAAATAGAAAAGGGGCGACCACAGGTACTATTAACTTTTTGATATGCTTGCTTTCACTTTGAACTGGCCACCAACTTTATAATGTTGAAACACATGTCCACACTTCTTCAAAATCTTTAACATATATTCTACTCGTTGCGTACATATGAACTATATATTTCGATCTACGAAGAGTAGTGTTTTAGTCTAGTTCATGTCGTCATCATCTTCGTAGTCGTCCATTTCGTCGTCGTCGTCTTCATCACTGGTCTCGTCGGGATCGGACGCCTGGGCGCGGCACTTGGAGCACTGGCAGATGAATACGTAGTTCTCGCGCAAAACCTTGTGCCTCGAGTGGCGACTACGCTCCAGCATGCATTCGTCCAGGTAGGAGATGCAGATCTCGTCGCCTTCTTGAATGGGAGCCAAGGCCTTCAGCACAACAATGTCGTTGGAATAGGGAAAAGTGGAGCAGGCATTCGGCACGCAACTGTGGTTGATTTTGCTCTGGAGCAGGTATAGTCCAGAGCCCTCGTTGTTCAGGAATTCGCCAGCAACTGTCGGGGAGATTTTGATATGCATATTTTCCCAACAAGGTGATCTGAGAAATAATTACATTCTCCGACTTTGGCGTAGAGTCCGTCGATGACCGCGTCGAGCTGTGCCTTTTCCGAATCTGGAAGTGGTAGATCAGACACCTTGGCGACCCACTGGGAGAGCACGCTTGTGGCGATTCCCTGGCTGTTGGTTCCCAGGATGGCCATCAATGTTTTAAAGGCATCTGGCGTTTTGAACTGAAAAATAAATAATGTATTCACCTGTTGACGCACTCTGTGAGGATATGCATACCATGGAGAACTCCTCGCCCGAAAAAGCATTGCAGAACGCAAGATACAATTGCTCCATCTGCTGCTCGAAGTTCTCGCCCAGCATTTTGTGATAGATCTTCTGCTCGCGATTCACAATCAGCGACTGAAAGGACTGCAAGTGGTCGAGGAACTCGGCCTTCTTGGTGCTCTGCTGGTAGAGAGCCATTAGGCGGACAATCAGCATAATGCTGCCTGTCTCGGGCGGATAGTGCATCTTTTTCCAAGTTTCGTTCAGCACATTGATGGGATGTGTGTCGTCGGAGCGGAAGGCACCCATGCAAGCCACGCGGTGGTAGCGCTTCTGCGCCTCCATCAGGCAGTCCTCGGAGCAGTAGCGTACCTTGCATCGTGGGCACTGGGTAAACTGGGCCACCCACTGGGCGGTGGGATCGTGTTGCAGTAGGGGGACCTCCACTTGGGGATCACTGGCCAGGCGGCGCACATTCTCCAACACCGTCTCCAGCGGCCGCATGCAGTGGTCACACGCCGCGTAGCCGTAGGCCATGTTCCACGAGAACTGTCGGGACACGAACGGTTCCTCCTCGAAGATCACCTCGTCCGTCGTGAAGTTTTTGGTCGCGATCATGGCGCGACCCTGAGGAAATATTCATAGAAATGCGGTGTGGGAACAGTATAGGACTTGACTTACCTTGCCGGGCAACTCCCGAATTTCAAAGTTATTCATTGTTTACTCGGCTTTTTTTGGGTTTGTTTTGGCCAATCCAGTTGCACGTGTAGTGCAGTGTGGCCGCACCCACAAGAACGAATATAAAATACTATGGTATTTTAGCCGTTAAAACTTCCTATAAACAATTGGAAAACCGGCCAATTCAATACATTTTCCGTCCAGCCTAATATCAAGTAATAGGTTGTGAAGTTGATACTCATTCCACTAGTTTCTCGCAGATCTAAAAAACTATAGTCAATGGATAATAAGTCAAGCTTGAAGTTATGTTTTAAAAGCAATTCAAAGTTTCGTGTTTATAAAAACAAGGTGCACCTTGTCTGTTTATAAAACTAATTTTATATCGATAATAGATTCGACATGGCTATAGGCGTCAATATATCGATGTCTTAAGCAATCGATAGCATAAGGTGCAATTGTCCGAGCCTTACGATATACAAATCCTACGGAGAGAAGAAAAAAGACTTATTTGGTCCTCGCAAATTGCCACATCCGAATCCCCGGCCTATTAGAAATGGCAGATGAAGCGGGCACCCAAGCCGATGGCAAGCGGCAGTTTATCTGCGGCGTGATCGAGGGATTCTACGGCCGGCCGTGGACGACGGAGCAGCGCAAGGACCTGTTCCGCAAACTGAAATCCATGGGCATGGGATCCAGTCCTTCCTACATGTATGCGCCGAAGGACGACTATAAGCACCGTGCCTACTGGCGAGAGTTGTACACCGTTGAGGAGGCGGATCACCTGTCCAGTAACTAACCTTTGAACTCTGCAAGTCCTTTGGTTAAGTGCCTTCCTTGCAGGTCTGATTGCAGCGGCCAAGGAGGCGGGCATCACCTTTTACTACGCTCTATCGCCTGGACTGGACATGACTTACAGCAGCCCTAAGGAAATCGCAACGCTGAAGCGCAAGCTGGATCAGGTTGCGCAGTTCGGCTGCGAAGCCTATGCCTTGCTCTTTGACGACATTGAGTCGGAGCTCTCAAAGGCGGACAAAGAGGTCTTCCAGACGTTTGCTAACGCCCACGTATCGGTCACCAACGAGATATACACGCATCTGGACAGCCCCAGGTTCCTCTTCTGCCCTACCCAGTATTGTGCCTCGCGAGCGGTGCCCACGGTCCAAGAATCGGAGTACCTAAATACCCTGGGCTCCAAGCTGAACAACGAGATCGATATATTGTGGACAGGGGATAAGGTCATCTCCAAGACCATATCGCTTGAGTCGATTCAGGAGATTACCGAGGTGCTGCGCCGCCCGCCGTGCATCTGGGATAATCTTCATGCCAACGACTACGACCAGAAGCGAGTCTTTATGGGACCTTACAGCGGTCGATCGCCGGAGCTTATTCCCCACCTGCGAGGTGTTATGACCAACCCCAACTGCGAATTTTACGGCAATTTCGTTGCCATTCATTCGCTGGCCTTCTGGTCTCGCTGCAGCCTGGACTCCAAAGTGAACAGCTCGCTAAGTGCAGACATAAAGCTGGAGACTGAAAACGATGATGACCTCCCGGCGGAGTTTCTCTCAAAGAACGTTTACCACCCACGAGTGGCTCTCAAGTGAGTAAAACTAGCGAAATTACTCAAGCAAAGCTGACAAATCCAAATCAAATTAAAGAAACGCTATTACGGAGTGGCTACCGGAGTTCTTCATGAAAAAGGAGGCCTGGGGACCCATTACAAAGCCTCAGCCCCAAGTCCAAATGGTGATGCCCATTATTCCCATCATACCCTCCATTAACACCTGCATGAGTCTCACCACCACGACAACCACCTCGACGAGCTCGAGGACGGTTCCACCCACGGTCAACACCACTCAACTTCAGGCTCTGGCTGACGTTTGGTAACAAGAGTATACAATTATATGCAAACCCCTGTATAGCGTTTATAAATCTTTCGTTATAGCGTTGTGACCTCCTCGCTGACTCCTATCTCCAATCCAGTAATGAACTCCCTGGTTTCACCCACAAAAGTGATCACGAACGATGACATCATCAATCCCATTCCGACCACAGCGGCCAGCAATATTGAACTGCCTAAGAAAATACCGATATCCGTTGTTCCAGTGCCCATTATGGAGACAAAGAGTGTGGAGGCTTCCGTGGAACTGGGTTTGGACAATGCGGTGTTCGATGACAATGAAATTGAGCCAAATAGCGATTCTGTGAAGGAGCGGCTAGAGCTGGAAGTGGACATAGATGAAAAGCAGGAACCGGTGGCCAATCTCAGTGTAGATACAATGCTGGACGATGACAGTCTTAGTCCCCTAAGTGGCGTAGTCAATGAGCCAATGGAGTGCAGCAGCAGTATCGCATCACAGGTCTCTCCAAGGGATGAGGAGGCTATTAAAGTGGTGGCCGACGATGTTCTCATGGAGTCCGTTAACGATGTGCATGTAAGTATGATGGCGCAGCTGACAACCCATTACCTCTAATACGTTTTTCCTTCTAGAGTATGCATGTGGAGAGTGGGACTTCGTCGCCGATCTCAAATGCGGAAATGCGCGAGGAAAATGAAGCTCAGTCTGATAGGACTAACGATAATAAGTATGTATTTCGAATTCACCCTTGTGGGATGGACAGTTTTAAAAGATTTTTTATCTCAGTACCATCGACTGCAAAGGAATAACCGTTGACGATTTGGTTCTCCTCTGCGACCTGTTCTACCTTCCCTTCGAACATGGCAGCCGCGGCCACAAGCTTCTTGTGGAGTTCAATTGGCTGAAGATCAACGCTAATGTGATACTGCAGGACCGATCTGCCGGCGGCGGAGGCGATGCAATGAAAGCAGCCAAGCCGGAGGTCAGCGAGTGGCACCAACGTCGTGAGCAATTCGACCACCTCTGCAGCGCCGTCGTAGAACTGCTGATTAAAATCGCTAACTGCCAGAACAAGGAGATCTGTCACGAGCTGTACTCGTATGTGTGGGACATATCCGGCGCCCTGTCTCTGCTCAACTGCTATGTAAAGTGGCTCGCTCTCGGGAATTTCCCGCAAAACACGTCTTCCTACACAGAGGGCAGCTACACATGTAAGTAAACCGATCGACATTTTACTGTGGTAAGCCTTGCTCTAATATACCTAAAACATTTCAGGGTTTAGCAAGGGCTGGAAGGAGGCGTTCATGTCTGGTGATCAGGAGCCGTGGGTCTTCAGAGGCGGCCTCATTGCAGACCTGCAACGCCTGATGCCTGTGGACTCGGGCAACGACCTGTTTGTGTACAAGCTTCCGGAACAGCCCACGGCCAACTACTATCTCTTGAGACCGTACTGTAATTCGGATGAACAGCAGGTCAACGATTTGTGCACTCGCCTCTACTTGCAGTGGCAGGGAGAGCTGGACGGAGGCAGCCACATTCCGTTCCCGCTGCCGGCGAATGTGGCAAACATAGTTGCAGATGGGATGATTGGTGGACATCTCACCCTCAGTCCACAACTGTGCATTGTGGCCTACGACGAGAATAACAGTATCATTGGCTATTCATGCGCCGCTCTGGATGTCAACATATTTCGACGCAACCTGGAGATGTGTTGGTATACGGAACTACGCGGGAAATACTCTAGAGATGTTTGTCCACAGGAGGGCGGCGAAAAAGTGACACAGCTCGTCACCTCCTTCGTGGAAAACTTTCATGATAGCAGCGGTAATGGAGCTCTGGACCCGTGTCCTGTAGAGGTGAGCGGGTCCTTCCCTGCCGTGTTGATCTCCGGAACTCTGCGGGAGGCGGAGGAGCGGGACTTGGGAATAACAAAGCGGATGCTCACCGTACTCTTGGCCGCCCTGCGAGCGAATGGTTGCTTTGGTGCCCACGTACGTGTTCCCCAGCAAGATGTCGCCCAGGTGAACTTTTATTCTAGAATCGGTTTCGTGGATGTCTATCGTGAGGAGGCCACCAAGTGTGTTTACATGGGTCGCCGTTTCTAGCGTTTCTGGATGCCAGCTTCACTGCCTCCATTTTTAATGTTCCTTCATCTTTGGTATTCCGGCTAGCAGCGCTAGCCACTCATGTCATGTCCTCGTCCTCGTCCTTTTTGTATTCCCTTAAGGTTTAAAGTTTGTATTACTGACCAACCCTTCGAGCATTTATCTTAAGAATTGTTTTCTTACTGAGGAAACAATAAAAATACCAATTTAATAACACTTGCTAGCTTTTGCTGAGGTCGTAGAACCAGACGGTGTTCACTCCGTCTTCTATAATCTTCACGTGCTGTAGGCTGGGTAGTGGAAAGCGGCAGGCTATAATCTTGGTGTTGTGCGGACACTCGGCGATGAGTTTGTGTTCCAGATCCTGCATCATTTGCTCAACCCCAAATATGACTACAAAGTTGTAGTCTTTTATTTGGAACTTCCAGAGATCCCGCCGGAAAAACCTCGTCTGATTGGATACCCCGTGACGCAGCGCAGCCAGGCGCGAGTAGTAGACTAGCCATGGGTTCAGCTCCACGCCGTCTGTCCTAAGAGCCTTATTGTGTTGTGCCGCAGCTTGAAAATATTACATAAGTTATATGCGATATTTCTGAATTGACTAGGTGAAGCGTACTTACCCACTACAATCCGTCCGTCTCCGGAGCCAATGTCCAGCAGTTTTCCGGCCGAGTTCTTGGGCAGGAAGCTCAGAACATTCTGTATTTGCTCGGTCGTCGCTGGCACATAAGGCAAACAAATCCTCCGGAATGCCGGCGCCACAAAGGAAGCGCACACAATCGACAGGCCGATGCCTACTCCGCCTGTTGCCGCTATCAGGATCTTGCCGCCCGTGGACATGCCACTTTTTGCCGTCTTGGCAACCGGGCTCAGTGTATCTTCGTTCAACAGTTCCATTTTATTATTTATCAGAAATTCATGTTTACCATGCTAAGGAAGTAAGCGATTATTTATCGATAGCTGTTAGCCCTGCACGACAAGACGTCATACGTTCATACTGCACGAAGCGCTGTTAGCGACGACGCTTTGCAACACTGCACCGTCCACACTGTTTGACATGTGGCAACACTTTTTTCGTGCGTTTGATGTGTGCGTGCGCTTCCTATTACAATTTTTTCGAAGGATTTTCCGTGTGTTTTGTTGACGTGAAGCGCGGCAGAAAGTGAAAAACGCCATCAAACAGTGCCGTGCAACAGGGCGGGTCATCGTTTGGCATAAATTGCAGTGTGTGCCCCGCGTGCGGACAGGCGTAATTCGTAAAAATGGCGAACGTAAGGGACAGCGACACATCACTGTGGCTGCATAATAAACTGGGCACCTCGAACGACTCGTGGATAAACGGCTCCATCTGCTCGCAACTAAACAAGGAGGTGCTGCGAAACATCAAGGAGTGCTTCCCCGATCTGCAAACGCAGGTCAAGCTGAAGCTCCTGCTTAGCTTCCTTCACATCCCGCGCCGTCTGGTGGAGGAGGTAAATGAAATCCCATGAATTGAAATGGCGTTGGTGTATGGAAAAAGTACACCAGTGCACACGCACGCATACTGCGACACGCGCACACGTACGCGAAGTACACTTGCCGTTGTTGAAACAAAAAGTGCGAATAATTTGTAAATACTCCGAAAATCTCATTAATCCCATCATCTGGAGGGCTCTAAATATCGTTTCTTGCCTTTCTGCAATTTCGCCCACTGGTGACATAGCTGGTTGGTGAAAATAAATATTAGCAACGTTTCCCGCCACTTCTACTTTTGTGTACACATTTCTCTCTCTTTGACACTTGTGCGTGTATTTCTCTCCCGTGTGTCTCGATGTTTATGTGTGAGTGGGCTGTTGTGGGTGGCCGCTGATTCGGATTCATTTGTTTGTTGTACCCTTCCCAGGGAGCATTTTGAGCTTTATCTGGCGTTTGTTATCGCAGTTTATTTCTTGTGCATTTCTTGTTGAGATTGCAGATCAAATTAGAAACTAAGAAAAAATAAATACAAATGGTTTTTTTTTATTAATTACCATGTATGCTACTTATACGATTTATTTTAAATTTCATTTGAAACGTGCGGTGATAATGTGATTTCCATTAAACCGATCATACTAGGACTAACAGAACTGGAATAGTTATTGAATCAATTACCTGGAAATGTACTAGAGCATCGGCTTGTCAAATTTATTTGTGCAACCCAACTCATCGTTAATTTTAATGCAATTTGCAGTGGAAAGCGGAACTCGAGGAGGTGATCGAGGTGGCCGGCCTGGACTCGGAGCTATGGGTTTCCATGCTTGCGGAGACGATGAAGACCTTTCCGGCGACCAGTTCGCTGAACACAGAGATCTCCGATTACGAGGATACTCGTCCCATCTTCATAGACATGGTCAACGACCTGCGCAAGTTGGTCACCAAGCACTCGGACCTGGGCATGCTGCCTCTGGAGTGCCAGTACCTAAATAAGAACGCACTGATCTCAGTGGTGGGTATAGAAACTTCCTAAATCCAACCGGATTGGAACTAATACGCTTTCTTGTTGATTTTAGGTGGGCCAGCAACCCGCTCTCGTCAAGCATTTTACGCTGAAGCGCAAGCCGAAGAGCGCCCAGTTGCGTACCGAATTGTTACACAAGTCCGCCGATGCGCAGTCCTCGCTGAAGAAAGCCTCGGCGCCCACAATTCCGCTGCGATCGCGAGGCATGCCCCGTAAGATGACAGACACTACCCCGCTGAAGGGAATTCCCTCGCGCATGCCTACCACGGGATTCCGATCGGCCACCGTCCCGGGAAATGCCGCCCAGCGCCCCAATCTCAGTCGCACGCCTGCTGGACGCAAAGACGGCGGCATAAAACTGATCGAATTCACCGAACAGCCTCTGGGTTATGCGGCAGCTAAGAAGCGGAAGCGCGAGCAGCAACTGGAGGAGCAGCAGAAGAAGCAGGAGCAGAAACAGCAACAGGCGGCTGCAGCTGCAGCTGCGGCGGCCACAGCAGCGGCAAACAATGCTGGTGACAGCTCGCCAACGGACGCGGCGACGGCCAGTGGAGGCGAAACACCCGTCACGCCCACGTCCGCTAACAATAGCTTCGAAATCAAAATGGAACCGCAGCTACTAAACCAGAGCGCTGGAAGCCTGGAAGAGCCGCAAGACGACGAGATGTCTGGCAAAGCGAATATGGAATGCGATATCGAGACGCCGGAGTACGCTACAGCCACGCTGGACTTTGCCCAGGCCACCTCAACGTCCGTGGCGGATGGTCAACCGGGAAAACCATCAGTAGAAGCCAAGCTGAAGACGCCGCGAACTCCGAAATCTGCAGCAAAATTGAACAACAACAACAACAGCTTCAATCACACCCCAAAACGAATCAAGCAAGAAATAGAGATCAAGAGCGAGGAGATCATAGTACCCGCCAGTATCAAGCTGGAAAAGATCGAGACTTCACCGTCGACCCAACGCGTCATTATCCAGCAACAGCCGCCTAGTTTGGTGCAGCGCACCCCGCACCTGCTTATCCGCAGTTCGCCACAGAAGCGGCAGAACAACGGGGCAACCACAAGCGCAGGCACCAATACAACCACCGTGGGCAATACCACTATCAAGATGGAGAAGTTGGACATCAAGCCAATGCTACGTGCCACCGGCGTCTCCCCTTCGACGAGTGCGGGCACAACGACTACACTCCTCACCCCGCAGCAACTGCGTCAGGCGGCCAATCCGTTGGCCAATCTGCCCAACAACATCTCCGTAAAGATAACCTCTACCAAGGCGAAAGCGGCAGCTGCGGCAGCTGCAACCTCCAGCGGCAATCAGACTCAGCCGCAGCAGCCGCAAACGGTGCAGGTTCAGCAGACGCCACAGCAGACGCACCCGCCGCTTTTGATTAACAGCTCCACACCCGTGATCTTGGCGTCCTCGCCCAGCGCTCAAAGAGCGGTAAGAATAAAATTACGCGTAGCTTTACTGATGAACTTATAGATAGGGATTTCTTTAAATTTCCTGGATAAATATTTGAAATGGCGTGTGAAAATGCAACTTAGTCTCTCTTTGCTAATGTACTTACATTTCTGGTTTCAGAAGGCTTTGGCATTGCCTAGTAGCAGTACCGCCGCCACCACTACCACGACGATACCGTCGCAAGCCATAAAGACGATGCCACTGAGTCAGCTAAAGACGGCCACTAACAGCGGACCAGTGATCATATCGCAGACAATTATACAGCCGGCGAAGCGAGCCCAACAACAGGCTGGAACCTCCAGTGCAGCGGCCGCTTCACAACAGCAGCAACAACAACAGTCGCAGCAGCAATTGTTACAACAGCAAATCCAGCAGCAGACCCAACAGCAGACACAGTTGCCACAGCACCCTCAGCAGCAACAGACGCAGTACATTCTAGCCACACCACAGCAGCAACCGCAACAGATTCAGCAACAACAGCAACAGCCGATGTTGCCAACGCTCACCTCGTTCTCACACAGTCGTCCTATGCCGCAGACCACGACGCTTTACCAAGCTACCACTCCCGGCGGAAGCGGTCAGACGCCCACAAAGATTTTGCTAAAGACGTCGGGCACTTCCAGCGTGGTGATGACGCCTCTGCGCCAAGCGCAGCCGCAACAGGCATCCGCTGTGGTGTCGTCGAATCCTCCGCCTTTGGTGGCCACTTCGGCGGCAGTAGTTTCCCCCGGGCAGACAACCCTGAACATTCAAAACGTGCAGCTACCCAATCGACCAGTGACCATCCAACCAGCCTCCCAAGCCGCCCAGCAGCAGCATATGCAGGCCCAGTTGCAGCAGCAACAACCGCATCCACAGCACACGATCGTGGCCAATACGACGGCCACGCAGCAGCCCAAGTTGTCTCAGGTTCTTATGCAGCCAACATCAGCAGTTGGCACTAGTGGTGTATCCGCTCTGAACGTATCCCCTACGTCCGGGAAGAACAAGACTATCATACTCACCCAGAAGGGCGTTATACTGCGCAACATTGGCGGCGACATGTACCAGCAAATACCCATTAGCAATGTGGGCAACATGCAGGGACTCGGAGGCACCACGCTGATGACCACCACTGCTGGGCCGCCTAGTCTGGTGAAGACAACACCCTCGACCGGTGTGCAGTTGCAGCAGCAACAGTCTGGAAAGCAGATCCTGCCTACTCTCATACCAACCAGCTCGCTTGGTGGACAGCACGTAATTGTTCAGCAGCAGCAACCCACTAACGTCATCGGCAATGTAAGTGTAAAAATTGTGTGTTTGCAAAGGTGTTCTCAAACATACTTTGCAATAGATATTATAAATCCTTTTCACCCACGGGCACAATATTGTAATATGTAAAAATCTAACCACATTTGTATCTATCAGTCCCAGCAGCAGACCATCATTCGGCCCGTGATGACCAACGTGGGCGGAGGCTTGACCACGCTGCCGCAGGGCCTGACGCTAATACAACGGCCGGGCCAGCAGCCGCAGCTGGTGCAGGTGCAGGCGGCGCCGGGTAGTACGCAGCGCACGATTATTACTCAATCGAACACGGCGGCGGCGGCGTCGCAACAGCAGCCGCGCCAGCAGCAGCAACCAATTCTGGTCCAACACAAGCCGGCTCCGACCCTGCAGCAGCGATTGGTCACCTCCACCACCAGCGGTGGCCAGGGACAGCAGGGAAATCCGAATGCGGGGATTGCGCGCACCGTGCAAGTACAGGTGCAAGCTCAGCAGCAGCAACCACAGCAACAGCAAGCTACGCAAGCGCAGCAGGCTCCACAACGACGTGGACTTTCTCTATCGGTAAGATACATTTACATATTGCATTAAAATTAGATTTCAATCCTGCGGCTTCTTTTAGAACGAGCACGTGCACAAGGCGCACGAAATGTTCCGCAAGGCAAATCGCGTCTCGCGACCTGACAAAGCCCTTATCCTTGGATTTATGGCGGGTCTGCGGGAAAACCCGCGCCCAAATAACGAAAATGTGCTGGTCATCAAGTTGGGCGAAACAGAGGTAAGGCTATTTGGCACTTATTTCAAGCTCCTTTTCAAACAAAGACGTACAAATTGTATTTTCAAGGCTTTGTCGAGTACTTTCCTATTTGTTTATGGGGTTTTAGTTGTTTTAGATTGCACTAAGAACATATATGTTTACTGGTTACAGGAAAAAGTACAACAGGACAACGGCAACACGGCGCTGTGCCTGGTTGAGTCACACATCCGGCTGGACTACAACACCGGTGAGTGGAAGACATTCCAAAACTATAGGCTGCAGGACCAGAGTGCCGCCTCATAGTCCACAAGGGTCATACGCATAGTTCGCAGCACCAAGTGAGAACGGACAGCCAGGCTGAAGCTAGATATGGATTGTGCGTATATGGATTGTGGAGTATAGATTTTGATTTGTCATCCGTTCTGCACGGGCTGCTTCGTTGCCGCCCCCAATTAGGCTATTATAAATTCCCTCTCTCCTTCCCCCACCCTCCCGCAGTCAGCAAAACGCCCTTAGAAATGCTGCATATAATGAAACTATTTTATAATTAAGGTAAATTAGCTGTACAGTTGTTTAGTATGTAGTAAATGCTAGCGCTTAAACATTTAGTAACAAGCCCGTTCATACATCCATAAAAACACCCATTCATCCAAGCACACAGGCATAATCACCTCTGGCTGAACGCTTCACTGGAGAGCAGTTCCAAAGGCGGATGGGCCAGAAGTGAACGTTTGGACGGATCACATAGGCACACACAACATACGCCACACTCATGCATTTTAAATCTGCATATGTATACCTAGCTTATGTAATTGCTGTTGAGTAAAAAGTGTGTAATTATCTTACCAAGCAGCATCAAATTTAGAGACGCTGGTCGCTGATCGGCGCTCGTATTCATTAGAAATCCAATGAAAATATATAGTTATAGATATATACAATGTATGAGTCGCAGCAACCACAGCAAAATTAACTTAAATCTTGAATTGTGTAATAGACAAACAATAAAACTAGCATATGTATTTATGGCTTAAATGTTAAAACCTCTGGTCTTACATTTGAGTGCGGAAAATGTGGGTCATGTAAACGTCTACTCAGATATTCAAACACTCGATCAATTGATCGATTCGGTATCAAGTGGTCTGCGCCCAACTGGAATTTCAAAGACCTATTGGCTCGGTATGTGATTGGATTTTGAATTGCCTGTAAGAGCAATGCCTGTACTGCCAATAACTACTGGGAAAATCACAATTGTACATTAATTCTGAATAAGGTTCGATTTGAAATTGCGCTGGGTTGGAATTTTGGAAAGTGCCTTGCCCACGGTCAAGAGAGCGCCGGTGCAATGAAACCACTTTGTAGTTAATTATTGTTGTGTATTTAATTGTCTTGAATTCAAAAGCTTACAACTAGTCAACACAAACTTACGAAACTTCTCGCTAGGTTACACTATGCCTAGGGCTAATACTAGGTGGTAGGCTATGCTAGTTAAATATAATACGTGGTGCGGGATAAATTCGCTGCAGATCTGGTTCGGTGACACGTCCACCGGGTCGTCCTACTTGCCCACCTCCTTCCAGTGGACGATGGCGCGCTGCTCGTCCGGTGCATCGCCGAATGGACGGCTGCCGTCGGAGTGCACGTATTCGTTCACCTGGAAGTTGAGGAGCGTCTTGTAGTGGTAGACGTCCGCCAGCTGTTGCGTCAGCGGACTGGTGTTGGTGGTGAAGATGCCGGCGAACTGCTTCTCACGGGCCACCCGCAGCACCTCGTGCTCCATGAAGTGCATGCAGGCGATGTTCTCGCGGGGATTCAGCTTCTCGGCGGTGCCCATCATAAACGAGTGCAGGATTTGGTTGAGCCCCTTGGGCAGGTAGTTGTCCCTGTTGGAGATTCCGCGTGAGCACATGGCGCATGGAGGAAGGATTGACAACTCACCTGATTGGACCCTCGCAAAACTCCAGGAACTCGAAGACAATGAGCAGCTTGGATTTGATGTCCACCTCGGGCTCGTTCCGCGCATCGAAGTTCAACGCTGTGCCAATAATGCGATCCGTGTTGGTATCGTAGACCACGAAACTTAGGTCCCGCTCCACCAACACATTCCAGATATCCTGTGAAGCCATAATACAGGAAATGTATTTACATGAAATAGGAAGCTTTAGCTACTTACGTTCAGGATGTCGCTGTAATCGGTTCTCAAAACTCCGGGCTTGAGCCACTGCTCCAGGTCGGCCTTGTTATAGAAGCTAGCAACAATAATGCTGAAACGGGTGTTATGCGATTAGTAATTCCACTTCCGGTCGAGCTCCGGCTAATATGTACTTACTCGATGACTTCCTGACGGTGCTCCAGGCGTAGCGGCACCGCCTCCATCTTAAGATGCGGACAAGCATTCAAGGATTCCTCCTCCAGCTGCACTGCATCATGGTTGGCCGCCATCTTTTCGATGATCTCGCCCAGATTCTTGGCCGCAATGAACTCGGAAATACCGATGTTGTAGCCCTTCTCGCGCAGTAGGGTGACCGTGAAAATGGAGTTCAGCGAGTTGCCGCCCAGCTCGTAGAAGTTACTGTGCGGAGCCAGGGTAGCTCTGGTGGAGCGTCCAATCACCCCACCCACTGTCTCGAAGAGATCCCGAGCAGTGAGCTTCAGATCCTCAGGAACCTGCGAGTAGTCAAAGTCCAGGACAATGCTGGAGTCACCTTCGTTGTTGTTGGCCGTCTCATAGGTCTTGAGCAGCGCCTGGCGATCCACCTTGCCGTTGACCAGCAATGGAACGTGCTCTAGGATGACCACCTGCGGGGTCATGTAGTCGGCCAGTTTGTCCTTGAGACGCGCCTCCATCTGCATCTCGGTGACCATGGGTGCATCATCGCGCAACTTGACGAAGGCCAGGATAGCTTGATCGACCTGACCGGCATGGTAGCACAGAACAATGGCCTTCTCCACCAGCGGCAGCTCGGCCACGTTCTTCTCCACCTCGGACAAATCGACGCGATGTCCACGGATCTTCACCTGGGAGTCGGTGCGTCCCTCGTACATGATGCTGCCGTTCTTCAGGGATCCGTAGTCCCCTGTGCGATACAAACGGGCGTATTCTGGAGAGGCAAAGTCGTATTAAGTAATAATAATATTCAACGACAGCAATAATAATCAACTACCTTGCATGTATTTGAAAATGCATTCAGAAGATATTAGATGAATTACTTACTCTTCTCCACAGCCAGAGGATTCTCCAAGAACCGCTCCGGATCGCGTCCATTGACATAACCAGCGGCCAAGTTGAGCCCCGAAGCAAAGATCTCCCCGATCTCGCCGTTCTTCACTGGACGATAGTCGGCATCCAGCAAATAGACAACGGTATTCGACAGAGGAATGCCTTCCGGATGAGAAATCACAGGTTATACACAACATTGCAAATTAGGAATCCGAGATAAATCTCACCTATAGGCACATTATCGTACAAGCTTAGTTGCTTCTTGCTCTCGCACGCAAAGTAGGTGACATCGCCCAATACCTCTGTGGATCCGTAAAAGTTGTACAGCCGGTGTACCCCTTCGTCGAAGTAGTCGAAGAAGCTGCTTGCCAGGGAAACTGATAGGGGTTCTCCGGAGCAGACCCAAATCTGCAGGTTATACAGCAGTTTCTGGGCAGCTCCGCCTCCCTCCATCTTCAGATACATAAGCAGCGAGCGCAGGAGAGTGGGCACCAGCACCAGACGTCTGATTTTATATCGCTCCAGCAGGGCCACCAATCGCTGGGGATCCTTGGTCACTGCCTTGGGCACCACTAGAATGGCCAGGCCACACATCAACGGGCCCCAAAGCTCGGCGATCGAGTCCACGAAGGTTAGGGCCGTCTTGAAAACGCTCACCGCCTCGTTGGCGGTATACGGAAAGGTGGCCCACTGCCACTGGAGGCGATTGAGGATGCTCTCGTGCGGCAGACGCACTCCCTTGGGGACACCCGTGCTGCCCGAAGTGTAGAGTACGATGGCGATGTGGTCGTTTCCACCGCGCAGCATCTCCTCTGAGAGCAGATTGGAGCCAGCCAGCTGGAGGGATTTGGCATAGAGTTCGGTGGTGGATAGTGTGGGAGTTCCCTGGAAACGGCCGGCGTCAATGTCGTCGTCGCGAATCACCAAAGTGGGCTTGGCCTCCAGCAGGATGTGGTGGATGCGGTTCGCCGGGAAGCTGGGATCGATGGGCAGGTACGCGCCGCCTGCCTTCCAGATGGCCAGCAGTGTGGTGACCAGTCCCTCCGACGGCTGCATGCACACAGCCACGATGAAGTCACCATCGCTGTTCGGCTGCAGGAAGCGGCCGTGGGTCTCGGCCACCAGGAGACGGGCTGCGCGGTTTGCCCGCTCGTTCATCTGGCGATAGCTGCTCTGACTGGGCGGCATTCCCTGGCCCGGAGTGCTGGGCTGATAGATAAGAGCCACCTTGTCGGCGTGCCGCAGCTGCTGCTCCTCGAAGATGCGGTGCAGAGCTCTCGGCACAAAGTCTTGCTGCAGACCCTTAACGATCGACAATTGTGGCAGCGAACCCATCTTAAAGTTGTTTTATCTGTGGGAGAATTAAATCAAAATCTATTACTTGTAATTGTGGAAACTATCAGGGTAGTATTAGCATAAGCTCTAAGTTACATCATCATTCCCAGCTTTCGTCGCAATGCAGGTTAATGCCTTACTGCCTTGCGGTAGCAATTAAATTCATTCATACTTGCATATTTATCGCACTTCGTGATAATGGAGCGCTCGCACAATAAACTATTATAATAAATGAGTATGAATATTGGACCTGCCTTCAGCGGATGCCTTATTTATTCAATTTAATTGCAGTCTCTTAGCTGCAGATATTGTAGGTACAAATAAACTGGAATTCGATTTTCCATGTTAATGACTTGCTGATTATGGGTTTCAGGGTAATATGATTTCATTAATGTTTTTTATTTGTAAAAATGCAATTCCTAATGCAATTAGTGCTTAAGAAAGGCCTTATTCGAAGAACTGGAATTTCTTATTTCTCTGTCAAAGGGCGTGGCGTATAAAGATTATTTTTAAAGGAAGTTTTGCTTTCTTGATTTCGCCTGCTTTCGGACTAAATGCTTAGCAACGGGCACATGTAATTTTAAATTATGGCGACATTATTATCTACCCGCTTAGCACCATATTTTTCCCTAACCTATCAGTCATACTTTCATTACAGGTTTGTTTAATAGGAGACCAGAGAGCTCCTTCCCCTTCGTAAGTAGAACTTAATGCATTAGCATAGCCACCTGTTTGTCGATACTAATTACGGTCAGTTTAATCTATGTGGGCTTACACTATGAATTGAGATGTGTTCCGGCTTTGAAAATCCACGTTTATATTGCCAAGTATTTGTGCTAAATAATGTGCCTTAATAATTGAATGTTGGAATTTTGAGTAGATGTTTTCCTAGTTTGAATGGCTTTGAATCTGCATAAAACTTAAATGGTGTACCCGGGTCGTTGGACATGGCCAAAAGCCTAAATAACCGCTCGAAATTCGGCATGCTAACTCGTTAATTGCATGGAACCAGCCAATTGCCGGAGACACCAGTCGCTGTCCCATTTTACGAGCCGCCATAACACGCAGGCGAGGATTGGTGGAGGTCTTTGAGCAGCGCCAACCTTATGCTCATGCTCGTTAAGTTCCATCGGAGTGTCATAAAAGCCAGCTGAAATGTCATTGCGCCGACCACTTCTGGTGTCCGAGACTGTTTGGTAGTATCTACTACCTGTATCTGATTCTGCCCGGCTCCAATGTCAAGCGCTCTAATCCAAAACATGAAGACAAGCTGCCGTCTGGAGGCCCAAGAACGGCAATTACCCGTGCCGTACCCCTGGCCTTAGCAAATGTTAATCTCTGACTTGGTTTGAAATTTGATTTCATTAGATTTGAGGCCTCGTTAAGTGACTTCGATCGGGGAAGTGAAGCAGTGCAGCAGTGGAGCAGTGGAGCAGGCGTTGCCGCTGGGAATGGCAAGGTGGTCAGGAAGCTTCTTGG